GGGTGCTGTCCATGGCTGGACAAGGGTAGATAGTACTTGGGTGTGTGAGGTCAAGCTATTCAGCAATTTGTTGTTTTTAACTGTATACTTTTCTGTATTTGCTGGTCAAACAATTTGGAACGCCCTTCCAGTCGATCTCAGAAACAACCAGACACTAGAGTCCTTTACAACCGATTTAAAGACACATCTATTTAGCAAACACCTTCTGGGATGATTGTCTACCATATCTTCAATTTAATACATATTGGCTGTGTTGCTTAGGGTTGAAATGGGTTGAAAGACTTTGACTTGGTTTGCTTGTAATTAGTTTTTGGAGTGTTGCGTTTGTTTTAATTGTGGTAAATTATAGGTGTGGTTGACTTTGATCCACGCTTCGAACCTTTGGGGATGAAGCGTGTTTTTGAAATAAACTTTATTATTATTATTATTTCTATTTTTTATGTGAAGCGCAGTGAGCCTAGCCCTTGGTTAGTGTATTGTGCTATAAAAATCACCTAAGAATAATAATAAGATGTTGAATAGGCCTGGTGTCTCTTTGTCCAAATGTGTCTGTGGGCATGCTGTTTCTTCAAACACAACCAACAGCCATTACGAGTGCTTATAGAAGCTTTCCGAATATGAAACTCATCAACAACAACAACAACAAAAAAACAAACGGACTACCATGTCCCTAGGTCAGCCATTCTCAATCTATGGGTCACTAACCATTAGGGGGTCGAACGACCCTCACACAGAGGTCGCTGTGACCACTGGAAAAACACATATTTATGAAATAGCAAAGAAACTAATAATATGGTTGGGGTCACCAAAACATGAGGAACTGTATTAAAGGGTCACGGAATTACTAAGGTTGAGAATCACTTTTCCAAAACCATGTCAAGCAAAATACTTTGTGAAATAATCCTTTAATTAATGGATATGAAGTATGTCTATATTTTGCAACCATTAGAGGGAAAAAAGTATGCCACCCACTTTCCACAATACACACTCTGTAATCGGAGGTAAATGCCAACAGCAATACAAAGAGGTGCAAACAGAGGGGGGACTATCCCGGCCCTCCCCCCCCCCCCCCCCCATCTGTCTGCCCTTTTTCAACTACAAGATTCTCTGTTTAGCATTCTGCTTTTTAAACTGCTTTACAGAAGCAAAATACACGCTTTTTGAAGAGAAAAAAAAATTCAATTTGGATACAATCTTTTTAAACGATATTACACACAAATATTCACGTGGCGTCGAAAAACACGGAGATGAAAATTGCAAAAAGCAAAAAAAAAAAAAAATTGCAGCCGTCGACTAAAAACCCATGGACAGCTAAAATACATAGACATAAAATTTTAGCATTTAGAGATGTTAATTTCACGTGTAGTAATTCCTTCGAACGGCACTCAGTCCTCTTCAGTTTCCCCAATTGAGATATTAAACTATGTAATGTTTGGGCTACTCATCCTAAGTTGTTTTAAAAAATAAATAAAGACACATTTTTATCCATTCGAATACGTACGTCGAAATTAAAAGACAAATTGTTGCCTAGAAAGCTAAGACATTTTTTTTAAAATGACAGGTCAAAATCTATGATTACTTTGTGGTGCTTTATTAATCTTGACTGGAGCACAAACAGTATCATGTCGTAACCGACAAAGCTTAAATTTGGACATTATTTCATTATCATTATAAAAAAAACACATAATTTTTAAAAATTAATAATAGTAATTATTGTGACTGGTACAATAATGTAAAAGAATGAAATATTTATTAAATATATATTGAACCAAAGATCTCCACCTCTCATACACCATTTAGTTTTAAAACTAAACTCAGCTACAGTTAAAAGAAGTAATAAAAACGTACTTTCCGGCAAAAATTCTTCGGCCGTGAGACCAATGATCTTTAGTAATGGGCAGCCCGTGGCCCATGATTTGATGACTTCCTCAGACATTGTTGCATAGTCGATGTGAATGTAGCGAATTTTGGTGAATTTCTGGAATAGTATAAACAAAACAAAACAAAAAAATATATTCTCAGCTAGGAGAGATGGAAATTTTCGAGTCAGTTGAATGAGAACGATATTAAAAAAAACGTGTTTGAGATTCCCTGCTGAAATACTTAAGTTTTGCCTAGCAAGTATCATTAAATTCGAGAAGCAATCCATTTGATGACGATTAAACAATGATAAATATATATATTTAAAAATTAAAATTGGGGGGGGGGGAATTAAACAAAAATGAGAAATCTCAAATCCTACACTTATATAAAATAATTGTACATCTGTAATATTTAAATATAAATACTTAAGTTTTGCCTAGCAAGTATCATTAAATTCGAGAAGCAATCCATTTGATGACGATTAAACAATGATAAATATATATATTTAAAAATTAAAATTGGGGGGGGGGGGGAATTAAACAAAAATGAGAAATCTCAAATGCTACACTTATATAAAATAATTGTCCATCTGTAATATTTAAATAAGGGACAAAAAGTAAACTTGAATATTAATGTTAATTTGAAGTTAAAATGACCTGCATTTCTGTGACCCATTGTCGTTCTTTGTATGTCGGAATCTCGTTCAGGAAGAACCCCTTTATAGACAGAAGGCTAAGAGTAGCTCCAGAGGAAGTGGCCAGACATTTTAGAAATTCCAGACCACTCTCAGTGTCAAAGTTTGTGTTATTTATAAACAAAGTCTTTAAAAAAAATAAATAAGAGGTAATTGTAATTACGCTATTGAACATGTAAAAACGGGGTTGAAAGCATCGATCCAACTGGAACGAAATGCTGAAAAAAACAAGTAATCGATTATATACTAAGCCAATTTTAAAAGCAGCTATCACTCGAATTCGCGGCATGCTTGTTAGGAGCCATCTCCCGACGAATAAAGCACCATTAGACACCTCCTCTGCTTTGATGCCACCATTAGACACCTCCTCTGCTTTGATGCCACAAAAACTCTCGTCTCTTCACTCATTCTTTCAAAATTTGACTGCTGTAACACTCTTCTCGCAGGCATTCCTCAACACCACATAGACAAACTTCAGAAGGCGCAGAACGCAGCATGCAGACTCATTTTTAAATCAAAGAAACACGACCACATTCAACCACACATGCAGCAACTCCACTGGCTTCTGATATCCTCTCGCATCAAGTACAAGTCTGCCAATCTATGCTTCAATTCTTTCACTGACCCTCACTTTCCTGTCTATCTCTCTGAACTGTTGCTTCCATACATCCCCACAAGACAACTACGCTCGTCACCTAACAATAGAACCCTCTCAATCCCAAGAACCAAAACTAAGACCATCGGTGAACGCTCCTTCCACTTCCATGGGGCCCACGTTCTGGAACCGACATTAATATCTGCTGAAGCGTTACTGAGCAGGACGCTCTTGACCGGCCGCTCACGAAGAACAGCGTCCAGGACCCCGGTCCGACGTATTCGTAACCGTTAGAGTCAAAACCGGGATCAAGGACACCCCCCCCCCCCATTGATAAGCAATGGACGCGGATTAGCCTGGCTTATGAAACCCCCCACGCATCCGGGGGCCATGTGTACAAATTGGCCCGGTTGTGAAACCGACCAGGCTGGAACCAGCTCCCCTTCCACATCCGTCATTATGAAACCTCGTCCACTTTCAAAAAGTCCCTTAAAACCCATCTGTTTAGGTCCGCCTATGACCTGTGATGCACCCTCCTTGCCCTGACTCATTTTTCTTTCTCGGGTTGATCCTGTATTTATGTGTTTTTTTTTCAAATTATATGCCAAAACGTGCCAAAGTGTACTTGTTTTTATAGCCATTTAAATGTTTTAGCTACTGTTTTTATAGTCATTTTTCACATTATAGTTACTATTCTAGTGTCTCTGGGTTTTCATTTTTCATTTACTTTAGCACTTTAGTAGTTTACAAATTTTTAATAATTGTAAAGCGCTTAGAGATGTAAGGTAAGCGCTATACAAAAATACCTAAATAATAATAATGATAATATAGGCACCAACTTTTGCAAACCTAGTCGCTGTAACACATGATACTTCCTGATTGCGGGTGAGAAGCTCCCCTTCTCTTTGGATAGATCTCGAATAAAATATCGCTTCACTTGCACAAGTCTCAACGTGATGTACACACTCATGTGAAAAAGTGCGGTAAATCATATATAGGGGAGAAACATCATTGCCTTGGATATCGTTTAATAAAACACACGTATAACATAGATAGTAATAACTAAATTTTGGCACGGAATTTAAAGGTATGCAGATAATACACAGGATATAATTTATTTTGAAAATTCATTATTAACAAGATTGTATACTTTGAATTCATGCCATGTAAACAAAGTCATCATTTTTACATAGCTGTAATGTCTTTTTCATGTTGAGCATTTACATTGTACTTCCTCTCAATTCGTTACGTTCTTCTGAGCTTCTGCTTTATTTCTATATGTCACTGTTGAGTAAGAAATATGTAAATAGTTGCTTGTTTTTTTTTGTGGTTTTTTTTTTTTTTTTTTTCCTTTGAAAACATTTGCCCAATCGTTTACATTAATTGGATTCTTCATTATCATTAGTAAGGCTTAAAGTAAATTAAATGCTTTTTTTCAAAAGTCTTCGTGTCTCACTCAGAAAATAGCATATATATAAAATAGCATGTATAATATAGCATTATACAATCATATATATATATATATATATATATATATTAAATCTGTTTTCCATTTTTATTCGAACCAGTTACCATCATTACACATGGGGATTTTAGATCTTCGCTAAAAAACAAACAAACTACTAATGAAATTGAAACAACCTGACTGATACTGATTGATACCAAATTTTAGCCAAAAGCTCATTGCCTCCTGCACGTATCAACACAACTGAGCAAGATATTTCAGATAAATTTTACCTCCAGAAATTTCTGTTTTTCAGTTAATCTTTTCAGCGCTTTAAGGAAATGTATACGTATCTGCTCTTCCAGCTTGAGACTCTTGAGGCCTACAAAAACAATTTGTTTGAGATTTGCATCATCCAAAAGTTTAGAAAACTTTTGGAACTCATTGATGATTTCCTTGGATGTACGCCAAGGCACGTGCAAGAACGTAATGTTCAATTCTTTAAGGTATCTTGGGAACTGTTTGACAAGTTTTATTGCATTCCTTCCTAGTGGGGAATACAAAAAAAAACGCATTTTAAAGAATAAGGGAACTACCAGTTATTATAGACCGTAAAGCATGGGGGGGACTGAAGAAAAGAACAATGGTATGTCCATTGTATATATTACCTCGACTTGGTGCAATAAATAACACATTAATACTACTCCTTCTAAATTTCTATACTTGAAATATTGCAACTATAGTAAAAAAAAAAAAACCAACTGTAATAGTATGTAATAGTATGTAATAGTATGCTAGTTTGACTTCTATGTTTAATGTACCAGTATCTTGAAATTTTACGTTACGATATTTGTCATACAAATATTTTTAATTTTTTTTTTTTGGTTTGTTTTAGTTCTACAAATCTTCATCAGCTATGTTACTGTACCGGATGTCATTTTTAATTCATCGCCAACCTTCATCTGTTGTTCGTCTTTGCGACGACAAAACATAATAGTTCTGGTCCTCCACAGACTAGGGTCTCGGAAGCCTTCGCGCCAGGGTTTGCACACCTTGACAAAGAAAGAAACGTTTAAATTTAATTGCGTGGCTACACGCAAGAGTGTTGCTAAGTGGTAGCAATGGTTTAGTGTGGGTTTTTAGTATATTTTAGTAAAGGTAATGTCCATTGAGAGCAACTTTATCGTCAAATTATCAGTATCACACCAATAATCAATTTGAAAGAGTATACTAATGATTTTTAATTAGAGTTTTAATCTTTTTTTTAGTTTTGGGGAAGTTAGATTGTAACAGTTCTTAAAATAATGAACATCTCCCTCCCCACCTTTAAGAATAAAATCAAAAATGTCAAGCCAAAAAAATACTTGTGTATTGTGTTTTGATTTTTTTTTTTGTTTTGAATCAGCATGAAGCATGTACACGATTTAATATCTAAAACAATAAACTGTCAATTCAGTTAGTCATAAATATTACTAATATTTTTTTTTGTAGAGGCATGTTAAACCGAAACACCATTAACATCAATATTCTTACCAAAAAAACAAACAAACAAACACTGATTTATCTATACATTCCAAAGCCAATCAGCTAACCCACACCTCCCATGCATCCACTTATCCATTAGCAAGTTGATCCACTCATCCATCCATTTCTTCATCTATCTCATATCTGTTCTTTTTTTTCAACAATCCATCCCCTTACCCAGATTTCATCTAAACATCTGTACACATTACCAGCAATGGTACTCCACACATTACCAGCAATGGTACTCCACACATTACCAGCAATGGTACTCCATTGCTACCAGCAATTATACTCCATTGCATCTTTTATTGAATTGTTAAAAAAAAAAGAAACGAAATATTACACAGTATCTCATATCCCAAACCCGACCAAAAAGACAATAGATCTACTTCCCAATTGGTGTATTAATATAAGGTAGACATTGCCCGAGCCATGGAGGCTCTGTCCACATTCGCAAATCCCTGTTACATTAATATAAAACATTCATTACGCGAGCCATGGAAGCTCTGTCCACATCGGCCAAACTCTGGTAAATTTCCCTCAAAACATTGGCGGGAAGATTTTCCCAAGAGGAATGTTGTCGTTCATCAGACTTCTCGTTGTCAAAGGCGTAGGAAGTGGGAAGACATCGTGTGGGTCCATCACGAGCGGAAATTTTTCGTTTTTTATTGGGGGGTCGCATGTTCAGCAAATGGAAGATGTGTTGTTTTGTTGTTGTTGTGTTGTTGTTTTAATTTTTATTTGTGGTTAAAATAAAGTTCAAACCTTTGAATTAGAAACGATGCAAAATAGTTCTTCAATTGAAAAGTTTCGGTATTTCCCAAAAAAAAAAACAACAAAAAAACACAAGAAAAAAAAAAACAAACGTGAAATAAGGAAAGAAATTTATTTCTAGCGAAAAATGATGTTGAAGTCGCACAAGGTTCTCCCATATCCAAACACAATGTTAACCAACAAAGAAAAACTTAGAATTTATGGAAATAACATTATGTCAGCGGAGAGTTTTTTTAATATATAAAAAACATATATAAAATGAAAATTTAATTTACAATATGTAATTTTGTTTACTTAAAGCTGGGCCAAGTGAGCACGTTGCCTCTTGGAATATATTTGTAGAGGGTTCCCAGTCATCACTTCAGATCTCGTGCTAACAGCGCAACATGTTTTCTTCTTAAAAAATAATTTCCATTTGCTTGTAAAGTTGTTATTCTTTGTTGTTGTAATGTGTTCAACTGTTGAAGCAAAGTTACTGATTTTCAAAATGTGTTTCTATCGCACAGTTTTGTCAAAGCGATGTAGAATCAATGGTATATGTCGAAACTCAAAATGTTCTGATATGTCCTACTTGTTTTTGCAAAGGAATTACCTTTTCCACGCTGTTTTTTTGACTAAAAAACCTAAAAGAGGATTCAAACTATTTGAATGACTATTTTTCCACTACCATTGGTTCTTGTCATATTCACAATTAACCTATCGTGTTAGTCTTTGAGCTGTATTAACTTCGGAAGTCTGAAACAAAATTTGACCCCCCTGCGAAAAAAAAATATATATAACCATTGTAAAACAATAGAAATATATTCTTAAAGAATCCTCAGATAATGATTGCTGTCACTGACACTAACAACGTATTCTCATCACCTCCAGTTACTTTTTTTTTTGAGACGAGATTAAAATCTATGTGATCTTCTTATTTAGAGTCGCCTTCGAGCCTAAATTTCACACGTTGGAACTAAGCCATGTTGAAGAGTCAGTTGTATGACTTACAGATTTTTAAAAAAATTTAAACCAAACACATTGGCTTACCTAAGGAGGTTCTGGTTCTGGTAATGTTTCGTTGCTGCATCCATGTACTGGCATATATGCAACGGTTGGGGCTATGATGTTGCTATTCTAACAGCTCTTAACTGATGCCAGGACAGCCTTAAGGCTTTCGACTGATGTCGAGTTCACATTGGCATCGTTCAGGTGGTTCTATGCTATTATTGCACGTGGGAAGAAAGATTGCTGATATAACTGTGTTGCACTGAGGCACTTTGAAGCATTTGCTATTGTTTCTGGTGTAATTATTTATGGGAATGTCAGGGGTGAAGTCCGTGTTCCATGAGCGTTTTGCTCTGAGCAGTCTACCCGGCTTCTGTGGGGTGAGGTTCGTACCTCTTGGATGGCTGACAACAGTCCCATGATCACTTTATATAAGAATATCAGGCGGAGTCCCTCTCGTCTGTCTTTAAAAAGGGGGGGGGGGCAAGTCAAATCTTTTTAAGAGGCCAGTGACGAAGCCAGGAGTGGTAGATTTGTAGTCGCGAGCAATAACACGCACCGCGTTACGTTGAATTCGATCCATCGTGGCACCTTTAAAAAGTTCTTTAAAAAAAATTGTGGCCCAACTGTTCTTTAACCATTATGTTCTGGTGGCACTCATGTACTCGTAGCGCCTCTGTTCTTTTGGCAGTTTGTTCTGGTCGCACTCATTTTTCGTGGCACTTCGTTAAGGTGGCAAACTTATTCTGATGGCACCCATTTTCCGTTGGAAGATAAGTAATGTGCGCTATTCTGAGATGATCAACCATGTTCTTAGGACTTTCATGTTCCTGTGGTAATTTGTTCTGGTGACCATAATTTTCTTGTGACAACTTTATTCTGGTGGCAGCCATATTTTTGTGCCACATTTTTCTGATATAATCTCTGTTCTTGTGCCACTATGTACTACTTGCAATCATGCTCTTTTGGCGAAGTGCCCTTTCACTCTACTGCACCCATGTTCTTGATGCACATATGTTCTTGTGACAATTTATTCAAACAAGGACCAATGTTCTTGTAACAATGTGTACTTGTGGCACCCATGTTACTTTGTCACATATCTATGGTGCCAGATTGACATGTAAACTATCCACCTCCATTGGTCTCTGTCTTCTGCACTACCATCAGCATCGCCCAGTGTTAGTCCTGTCCACTCTTTGATGTTATCCTCCCATCTTTTTCTTTGTCTTCCTCTTCTTCTTCCTCCTCGTGTGGTGCCCTGCAATGTGTCTTTGGTAAGCCCTTGTTTCCTTGTTACGTGGCCGTACCTTTGTAGTTTGCGTTTTTTCACAGTCACCAGTAGGTGATCGTACTCCCCATTTGACTGGCGATCCCTTTCTTTCACTGTATCATTGGAGATATGGTCCCTACAGCAGATGCCAAAAATGCTTCTGAAGCATCGCATCTCCATCGCCTTTATGTTCCTTTCTAGATCGGCCGTTAATTTCCAGGATTCGCATGCATGATTATAATTACTTTTTTTTTAAATTTCCTTCTTACTTATTTTGCGTTTATTTCTGGAATTTCCAAAAATTGTTAACTTGGGGCACTGTTTAGCATTGTCGCTCTTAAAATCATGCCACAACAATGAACTTAATTAATAAAGAAATGTAGACTTTTTTTCTAGCATTAAAACATGGTTTAAGTCAATTATACTAGCAAAACATATTCTTTAAATAAAAACGTCTTGCGTTGAAGTGAAGAGGCAATAAAAAATAATAATGGATGAAAAGCAACGTAAAAAATTACACACATTTAAGCAAAAGAAGAAATCAGTTCAGGACAAAAAGGACGCTGAACCTAAACAATGGAGTCAACTGCCCGATACAATCATTATGGAAATCTACATGAACTTGGGTGATGTGGACAGGGTATCAATGGCCAGGGTAATGAATCTTTTTAAAATTATGAATTAATCAGCTCCATATTTTAAATAAATGATAAAATAAAGAGGTGCTATTGATGGTAACGTGAATAGAAGTATTGTTGATTAAGAGATGAGTGGATCGGATAAAATGACAAATATTGGCTCTATTCCAATTGCACTAAGTGACTCTAGTGTTTACATTGCTGCGTGTGGATACATAGTTTGGAGACAGTATAAAATTACAACGTCGAATCGGGACATGTTGCCTGAGACTATCAACGCGATATGGGAAAAGGTGCACAGTGAACTGCCTGTGTGGGTCTTTGCAGGCAACGATGTTGAGGTAGTACATGCAAATGTTTGCTAGGAGAACTCTCTTTGCTACGCCTTTATAAATTAAATGATCAAAATAAAAAGCAAATAGATGAAACGCTACGTCGCAATGCCTTACAAAAAAAAAAAAAAAAAAAAAAAAAAATAAAAAAAAATAAAAGAAAAAAAAAAAAAAAAAAAAAAAAAAACGCTACGTCCAAAAGCCTTAAAAAAAAAAAAAAAAAAAAAAATCCAGATTGATAAAGGGCAAAGAACAAGGAGATACAGTAGTAAAAAATTAGGGCTGCCCAGCAACAGCCAAGGAAACGATTCACCTTTCCGTGTTTCCTATATTGTTTTGATGATTACTTTAGAACAACGTGGTGCTATGAATGTTGACGATAACATTGCCCTCCCCAGAGCTTAGTACACAAAATGCAGAGTGATCCCTGTCCTAGTTAGCTCTACTTCAACAGGCCAGAACATAACAAGGACCCAAACTGTCGGGAATACACTATGGTCAACAGAACTAGTCGTACACTTATTAATTTGGAGCGTTTTGCCAGTTTGTAAACCATGTGCTGGGTGGCCGAGTGGTGAAAACTGAGCAAATCTCAAGTTGGTGGTCTGGAGCTCCTATACTGGCTTCTTGCTGGTATGAGCCTGAATTGCCTGTCATGGCCTCGTCGCTGTCTATGGGGGAGGGAGGTGTTTCTGTTTAATACTGGAACAGTGGACCAGCCAATTATTTATCTTATACATCATGGAGAACCTGGATTGTCGTCATCTTTCCTCCAATGGTGACCAGCCTAGTGTTTCCAGCATGCTGCCAACACTAGAGGTATTCCTGCAGCGGTTAAGGACAAAGCGTGCTGCCCGTCGCTGGACCGCCTCCAACCTGTCAATGCTCTTCTGAGTAAATGGGTCCCAGACTGAAGATGCATAATCTAAAACCGGACGGACAAAGGCTTTATATGCTCTTTCTTTCACTCAGGAGTTGCCAATCTTTTGATTTCACCTTAAGAACCCCATGTTTGCTTGGTTACATACATTAATTTCTTTTGCTAAATTAAACCCCCAAAACCTGACATGAAAAGTCCCACTTACTAAGACCACGCCCCTCAATTGCACTCTTATTTTCCTCCTTAAGGTATGTAAGACCTGGTACCAAGTCTTCCATGTTCCGTCACTGTGGAGGTCGCGGGAGATTGATTTTGGCCTACGTCGAGCAAATCTAGAGGCTTTCGATAAGGCTAAAAAAGAATCACCAGTGTCAAACGGTACAGTAACGTAGCTGCTATACACTGTTTCAATAAGGTACTGTTAAAGCTAACGTTCCGATACAACGAGTAATACTGTTACAACAGATTTAGTATTACCACGATAGAGCTAACACACTGGTAAACAAAATTATGGTCCAGGTGCATCTAGTTTACTAATTACTAATTTAATGGTACAACTTAAATTATTACTTAAATTATATTCATTAAAATTTTATCTAGAACAACTAAATATTAGTACAAACTAACATTTACTCAGATGTAAACAAAAAAAATAACGTACTAGTAGACTGTAAGCAGTGACGTACTCCACAAGTCGTCATATAAATATACCCAGCCGAGGTCATAATTTTTCAGCCACTTACCTTTGCTGTGATCACCATCTTTTACGTCGCACCATATATCCTTACGCTATGCTTGTTAATTACAAATTCTTTTTCGCTTCTCATTAGGAAAGCACGCAATCAAGTTCGTGAAGCAGTTCCCGACTTCACTTGAAGACATCGCCATTAGATTTCGTTTCATGTCTGAGCAGCCTACTAAACAAATGATCAACGACTTCAAAGAGTTATGTGCTTCTTTGGATGGCGCCAAACTTCGAAATATTTCTATTTGGAATCTGAACGTAGACACGGTCAGCGGGCAGAAGAGAAAAGACGTAATAGACTCTTTAAAGAGACTGCTACGCGATCAGAGTTCAATAAGGGTAAAAAAACCAATAAACAATCATTTACGTATCATGGAGATAGCACCAGTTTACATGGACACCTGGGACAGGCCCCATGGGATTGAAGAGAGCGTGTGTAGATTTAGTTACTTGCGGGTCTAACATTGTCTCTGATGTTCTCTGGGGGACAATGGGCTCAATGTATTCTGGGAGGGCTCTAGGCTTTATGTATTATGGCAAGGCTCTAGGCTTTATGTATTATGGCAAGGCTCTAGGCTTTATGTATTATGGCAGGGCTCTAGGCTTTATGTATTATGGCAAGGCTCTAGGCTTTATGTATTATGGCAAGGCTCTAGGCTTTACGTATTATGGTAGGGCTCTAAGCTGTATGTATTATGGTAAGGCTCTAGGCTTTATGTATTAAGGCAAGGCTCTAGGCTTTATGTATTATGGCAGGGCTCTAGGCTTTATGTATTATGGCAAGGCTCTAGGCTTTATGTATTATGGCAAGGCTCTAGGCTTTATGTATTATGGCAGGGCTTTAGGCTTTATGTATTTTGGCACGGCTCTAGGCTTTATGTATTATGGCAGGGCTATGGGTTCCATGTTTTCTTTTTGAAAATTTCATTTTTTTTAAATGATAAAAATGTGCTAAATAAAAACGTTTGTTATAATTGACACTTCAAATATTTTTGTATATATATATATATTAAATGTTTGCGAGGTAATATGTTAATTTTAAAGCCATTATATTTTTTTGTTTTTATCTTATTTCAGTTTTATTACAATGTAAACTGTGTTCGATATTTCGGTGCTTTTAGATCTGTTTCTTTCATTTTGTATTGTATAATTATTATGACTCTTCTGTTTAGAAATTTAAAGAAGATGCGTCATTCTATGACCTCGAGAGTGGTCTAGAAATTCTTAGATGTTTAGCTGATGCCTCTGCATCTACTATACAAGACCTTTCTCTAAAGGACTTGGTTCTAAATGGAGTGTATATGTACCGTGATGGACGTGTATCGGCAGAACTGAAGGTCATTGTCACTTTAAAATCACGGTTCACTTGATGTTTTCCTTTGTCTATCACTTAAAGATAACATAATAACACAGCATTCACATCATGAAAGCTTGTTTTAGCTTGTTATTTATACATTTTGTTTAGTTATCTTATTTGCGTAACTTATTATTTCGATTGGTTATCATGTTTTTTTATTAAATTGTCCGGCTGTTTGTATATTAAAATACTTATTTTTTTAAATGTTAGAATCAATGTACTCTCACTTGTAAATTTACCTACTTTAATTCTTATCATTAACAATATTTCTCACATTTGAGTGGGATGACCTGGCAAATGCCCACCTCCAACCCCCCCCCCCCAAATCTAGTAAAGACATGAGTCGATATATTGCAATTGTTTTTTAGTCTTAATTCTTCAACCTCATGACAGGCAAATAATTTTGTTTATATTTTAACATTTTCAGAAATTCACAGGCCTCTCTCGTATTGACTTCGATTACAATTTAATATCTGAAGAGCTTGTAAAAACCTGGGTCACGACATGTCCGAAACTCACGTTCATTAAGCTTTGTGCTAACGATTACGTGCATCCCAGTAAGCGTGATTGTTTGTTGGTTATTAATATTTTGGTGAAATATTTTTTTTTAAACCTGTATGTTTGAAAGAGAACTGTCGTTTAATGTTTTTTGCTCTTGTTAATTTATTGACCAGCCACAATTTTTGTTTGTTTGTTAAAATGTTATTGTCATCAGTACCGGTGAGGGATTAATTCTTCTAATTCAGAATCAGATGCTTCCAAGATAGGGATTAAGCTGTAAATGCTATTTTTAAAAAAATCTATCATCATAAAAAAGTTTTAAAAAATTTCTATTGCGTCTGCATGGGCCATCTTGTGTTGTAGTTACGTTACTGTGTAAAATATATTTTTATATATTTTTTCAATTTACACATTACTTAAAAGGTCATTTTATACCCTCCACTCAATCAGATCACGTCATTAGCTGCGAGGCATGGAAGTCATTGGTCGGAACGCATCCGAATTTGTTGGTTGAGTTTGAATCCTCAGAGATCCCAGACTTAAAGCAAATGAATGATATATTATCACCGGCTATTCCCTTGTTCGAGTTATCCTGGTACACATTTCAAAATACAAGTGAATTTGAGGTAGTATAAAGTCTTAGAATTTTTATTTTTATTATTTTTTTGTATTTTGCTTATGCCATTAATTTGTTTACGTACAAGTTGCAATATATCATACGCCTGCAACGGGTTCAATGCAAAATTTATTTTTAATCATTATTTCAATTTAATTACAAATTAATTTCAGTAAGTGATAACCTATTTAAAGTGTGTTTATTCATGGGAACAAAGTCTGATGTAAATGCTTATCTTTGAAATGCCCGTTTTGACTCGACATTTCAGCTTTTGGGATACAACGAAATATATTATTTTGAATGACAGACATATTTTTTTGAGGAAATATCCGAAGCAGCATTCTATCAATATTGCTTACACCAAGACAATTTGTTGTTTCAAACAGCCAACAGCGCGCGAGGTCTAAATGAGGCACAAAACATATTTTGATCTTGAAATGCTGTTTAATAATATTTAACTGTAAAGAATTTTGAGGGAAGTAGCAGATCAAGATAACTTTCGAATTGGCGGTGTCTGAGGGAAATAGTAGGTCAAAATAACTTTGAAATAATCGGTGTCTGAAGGAAACAGTGTATCAAGATAACTTTGGAATAGTCGATGTCTGAGGGAAATAGTAGATCGACATAATTTTGGCATAGGCGGTTCTGGGGGAAATAGTAGGTAAAAATAACTTTGGAATTGGCGGTGTTTGATGGAAATGGTAGATCAAGATAGTTTTGAAACAGGCGATGTCTGGGGGAAATAGCAGATCGAGATAACTTTGGAATACGCGGTGCATGAGGGAAGTAGTAGATAAGATAACTTTAAATTAGGCAGTGTCTGAAGGAAATAGTAGATCAAGATAATTTTTAAATAGGCGGTGACTTATGGAAAAAGTAGATAGAGATAAATTTAACTTTGGAAGAGACAGTGTCACTTTTTTTGCAGTTTGTTAACTTGAATATGTAATTTAAGGATTATTGTAGGGCCCACCTCCAGTAATAAATATAGATGACACCTTAAAGGCCAGGCTCTTATGTAGAACTTGAATAAATGTAGTTCCGCGCAAAGCCGAGTGTATCAGTTAGTATATTAATATATATATATATATGGGCCCACCTCCAGTAATAAATATAGATGACACCTTAAAGGCCAGGCTCTTATGTAGAACTTGAATAAATGTAGTTCCGCGCAAAGCCGAGTGTATCAGTTAGTATATTAATATATATATATATATATATATATATATATATATATATATATATATATATATATATATATATATATTATATATATATATTACCTATATTTATCCACATAATTTGCTATAATCAAAAGTAAATATATTTTTCTTTTTTTAATTTTTAGCTGACCAGATTACTTAATCGTGTTGCCCACTACCATAGAACAGTAAAACATCTGTGCCTGCGCCTTTCGGGGCAATTTCCAAATTTGAATACAACAGCAGTGCAGAACATACTGTCTAAATGCTCACATCTGTAAGTCCGTTTTGTACATGTTTGTGACATTAGAGATTAATGGTTGTCACTGTAAGCAATACGCCTCTCATTCTAAGCACAGAGAGCCTTCTTTATAACGGTAGTGCATTGTTTCTTCCCTTAACATTAGAGTATCATATTTCTAGAAGACCACGGGAAATGACTATCACTTAGCATACTCATTCGCATTATTTTTTCTTGTCATGGATAACGGGACAAATATTACTCTCATCCCAGGATCCATGTTCAATCCTCGGTTAAAATAAATGCAATCCAAAATATAATATGAACCGAATTATTCTATGAAATCGTGGGTTTCCAGAATTCAGTTTTTTGGGGTTAAATTAATGAATGAAATATAATGTCAAGTTTATTGGACAGCTTGGATGTTGTTTCTATGGCCATTATTGGCTGGTTAATTTCTCCATTAAGCTTAGTTAAAAATTTCTAACTAGAGGATTATTTTTATTGATCCAAACAAATTGAAATGTTTTTTTTAATTAAATTGTGCGTACCTTTCAGCAAATAAATAAATACATGTTTTACATAGGTCCCCATTTTCCAAATAAAATAATTTAAACACAAGCCATCTGCGTTAAATTAGCTCCATTATGTAATAAAGACATATGTTTTTAAGGTAAATTCGGATTTGAAAGTATGACTTATTTGCTTTCCTAATATTCTAGAGTGAAATTTGTTACGAAATATTCACAAACAAATATTACTCGTAAAAATGTGTTCGTTTTGACTATTTGACATAGAAAATACAAAACTACTTGCTGTAAAAGTGGTTGATGACATAAAAAGCAATGTTAACTACTTTTATAGACCTCAAGTTCCTAATCTGTAGGACGTGACATAAGAACCCTTGTACGTGACTGGACCTCAAGTTCCTAGAATAGGGTTGCGAAGTGATTTCTATAGGGCCACGGGCTGAAACTATGGACTAAGAGAAATATCACTTGCAAGAGGTATTTTCTTTTCAAGTCTGAGCCACAGTTTTAACGATGAAAGTCAAAATGTTGTTAATTATAATGTACAGCAAATTTTAGTTTGACTGGAATGAACAGAACTTGACTTTAATAAGAGAAAATAGAATGTGTATATGAGTTTGCATTATTTTTTGTAAAAATTGCTTATGAAAGGGAATAGAATGTTTAAATGTGTGTTAACATTATTTGTTAAAACATTTAAAAAAATTTAAATGGCCAAGTCTTTTATCACATACTTAGAGCTAATTACTCACAACGCATCTGCTCCTAAGCCCGGTTAAGATGAAAAACTCTGACCTGCATTCTTGCACTGCTGTTATTGAGGATTTTGTTACATAATGGAACAAAAAAAATAATGACGCTGCTAAACAAAGCAATTGGTTCTAATTAATGTTGAAATATATGAAATCCAGTATCAACATTTCCATGACAAAATCAATATTGTTTTTCTAATATTTGTTTTTTTAGAAGTTATAATAAATTTTGATTGGGCAGTTTATGCTACACTAAAATCATGCCACACTCAAGGATGTATCTGCTGAAGATTATCTTCAATAGTATGGTTAAAGTCCTCTGGTTTCAATACGCCTTTTAATATCATGATAATAACTGTCACTTCAGATGGCATTAAATGGTTAGTTGATGGTATATGATTTAATATGGAAATTATCTCTGTTATTACGGTATGTAACTCTCTTCACTTTTTTCAAATCGGTTTGTAATGTATCATTAATGGCAAAGAAGCTATTTGTGCAAAATTTGGCCTCTCTGTAAACACTTATCTCATTGCAAAATATAAAGTTATTTTTATTTGATAACAGTTTACATTCAATAACGTGACTGGTACGGTTGATGGTAAATATAAATATAATAACCACTATGTCGCAACCTCTCTCTGTCTTCCTCACTATCTCTTCCAATTCTCACCATTGGCTTTTGCTAAATGACAGGTTTCTGTGAGCAGTATATTCCAGTACTGTCGCTATTGTAATGACGTTAAGAGTTGCCAATTAACCCGTTATGGTGTAAAGAATCTTTGGGAACATCAGCAATCCAAAAAGTCAGATCCACCGCAATTAGAAGGGATTTAGACACTAAAAGTGATCTTTCCCTCATTTTTTTCAAAATGTTTTGTAACCTGAATAGTTCTACAAGTATTGCATTGTATTCCTAACATTTTAAATTGATGAATCATTCCTACTGTTGAATAAACCTTTACATTCGTGATATCAAGAGGGGAATTTAAAGTTAAAATGAGATCTGAAGTCAAAGATTTAGGAAATTTTGTGATTGTGAAACTGAGCATTTTATTTGTTAAAAAGTGGCTGTGTCCATTTCTGATGACGAAGTTTGAGTTCTTGTAGCGGCATCGGTGTTGTGAAACTAAATCCACAGACTTCTTTTGTTTCTGTTTTGATAATTTCATTTTTCTGAATCACTTAAATGAATGCCTTACATCTTGATTCTGAGGAAATTATAGAGTAGATTTTAGCCCCTCCCACCCCCCCCAAAAAAAATGAAAATAAAAGATAAATAAAAACACATGACACTTTTTCTATTTGAAAACAAATTAATTAAAAAATATATATATTTTGCATCGTCATGCATATTTTGCTACAATTTTATCCGAGCCTTACTCCCTGTGAACACAATGGTTCTGTGTAACTAGATCTTCTAATTATGCGTCATATTATTGTGCTCAAAAAGTAAATAACGTTAAATAACATTGTGTATGAATAATATGTCACATATTTTAATTATCTTGCGCATATTTTGACTTTGCTAATAATCCTTTTATTGTCTTAAAGGTTGCAGTAACTATTTATTTATTTATTTATTTAGGTATTTTTACATAGCGCTTACCTTAAAGCTCTAAGCGCTTTACAAATATTGAAAACATGTAAACTAAGTAAAATAAAAATGAAAAACCAGAGACACTAGGATAGTAACTACTATACTATAGAAACAATTAAAATGGTTATAAAACGAGGACACTTTGGCACGTGTTGGCCTATTATATTACAGGATCAACCCGAGACAGAAAATGAGGCAGGGGCAAGTAGGGTGCATCACAGGTCATAGGCGGACCTAAACAGATGGGTTTTAAGGGACTTTTTGAAAGTGGACGAGGTTTCACAATGACGGATGTGGAAGGGGAGCTCGTTCCAGAACGTGGGCGCATGGAAGTAGAAGGAGCGTTCACCTATCGTCTTAGTTTTGGTTCTTGGGAACGTTGTATGATCGTTGCATCCAAAATGCTTTGTAAATGGAATTTAATTTTTTTTTTCCAGACTGCCATTCAAATGTGTGACTAAAAGTAAAAGGAAAACTTTCACAGGAAAGAAAGCGTGGGGTCTCGTCCAAGAAACTTCGTGGCTCACAGAAAACGACATCTAACTTACTGTGATCAGTAGCTTCAAACGTGAAGAGTTCTTTTGCTAGCGTTGATTTGTTCAAGAAAAATAAGCAGCTTTGCCTGCAAATCTAGAATATAACAATGTTGGTATGCTTTTCTTTGTGTACAAATATGGTTTATTATTATTCTACTTCATAATACATTTGAAAATAAACCTTTTTTTTTTATTAACATCTAATAATATTGTAAACCTTTGAAAATTTTAGCACACTTTTAAGTCCCTCCCTACAAGTTTTCAATATATCTTTGTTTTGTCTAAATGCCTAATTTACATAAAAATTGAGCGTTATGCTTTACGAAAATTTACAATTTTATGCATCTAAATTAAACTGAAATCGCAATAAATATTTACATATCACATAGTTAATGTCTAGTTATGAATATGTTTCTTTTTTTTAAAAAATCAAATTCAATTTTATTTCATTTTGTTGTTTGACATGCATCATACTGCGTCAATTATTAAACCAATGGATCGCTATTTCTTGACCGCAAGCGACTGTAAGTGTAAGACTTGTGTACGCGGCTCTAAGCGGGGTGTTTGTTCATTCTGAAATTGGAACACGCGTATCTGCTTTATCAGTGGGTCTCAACCTTCCAAAATGAGGCAAACTTTTAACAAATTCCCTCATGTTGGGGTGATCCCGAACTATAAAGTTATTTTCGTTGCAACTTCATTAATGAAAATGAACATAATTAAAGCATAATGATTTATCGCAAAAACAATATATGATTAAATATTGTGAAATATTTAATTCTAATTACAAATACATACATTTTGTCTTGAAGCATGGTGTAGCATGGGTAACAGCCTTAATATAACAACAATGAACTACATTTCTACATTTTGTGACAGGATACATAAAAAGCCGACGTCAGTGAGATTTCTTCTTTCTCGCCACCTCATAAAACTTCAGGGCAGTCTTTGCAAGAGCAACACGTCTACTGAATTCTGTATTTAGTCCTGGCAACCAACAAGCTAGAAAAACCTGCTTCACTAAATGGGTTGTGGGTTTTTTTGTTTGTTTGGAAATGGAAGAAGAAAGCGCAACACAGGCTCAGACACAAAAATATATTACTGCCAACACTTGAACTAGAAATTTAAAACGGGCATTGTAGATTAAAATATTTCTCACTTCATTGCTGTTAATAAGTTAAATGAACTCCTCTTGTGAACTCCACGTCATGACTGGACGTGGTGAGAAGTTTTCATGTCTGTTTAAAGCTAAAGGTTTGAACATTGGTAGGATAAATGGAGTAAGTGATCGTGAGATGTAAGGTATATAAAGAATGTAGCATGAGCAATAAAGATCAGTTACAACAAAGACAGCAGACGAGATGGAATCATATTTTACTATAACAATCCTTTTGTCTAGATCCAAGTCATGTACCTTAAAGAAAGCTGATAAGGTAGGCTACATGTACATTTTATTTTGATCCTAAGGTGCAGTTGTATTCAGAACGATCGGATTTTTTCAGACAAATCGGGGGATGTTACATTTGGTTCTTGAGGTGATAAATTTAACTCATTCAAGATAGCAAATATGGCAACCAAGTAACCTATTTTTTCGCTGAAAAATGCTTCGAACTGCGGTTTTGTCCTCTGATTAAAAAAATGCCATGATTTCACCACGGAGCTCAAAAACATAATTTAAAACTTGCTGTCTCAACAACCATCTCCCTTCTGTGTGAATTAGCAGATCAGCAGCCGGCAAAGCCAATTCGTTGCACAGTTGCGAACACAGAAGACTGTTTAAAGTGCTCGCCGCCACAAAAGTGACCTAACTTATGACGCTTTTCATTGCTTCTTGTAACTCTTGGGGCAGCGCCTTCGTTTGCCGAATATACAGTGAATTCCAATATATTTCGGATATTTTTGTTGAAATCGAGATTGACCTCCCAGCATAGCTGTAGCACCATCTGCGCAAACACCACAACACTTATGCCGTGAGATTTTATACTCTTTCATTTAAAACCAACTGTGTCAAATACATCACGTGCACTAGCTGTCGTTTCAAGAGGTTTGCGAAAAAAAAAAAACAACTCATGTTTAAAGTCACCTCAAGTAAACGATGAACTGAATATTGGTGCATTGTCTTTAGATTCATCGACCTCGATACTAAACGTTGGCAGTGTGGCACATTTAATTGCCTGGCTTACCTGATCAAGAGAATCATCATACATATCCTCTATTCTTCTGCGGCAAGTGTCGTTAGATAACGACATTGCACTCAATTGTGTGACTAACGCGTCCCCGATCATACCTCGAACAATGTCTTTGGCCGCTGGCGACAGCAATTCCTCAGCAATGGTGTTAGGTTTCATGGCTGTGGCGATGCTGTGTTTCACCTAATATGAAGCTAAAACGGCTGCTACGTTCGATTTGTTTTACTTGCCCCCTGTGTCATGTCTGGCTTTCTTGATCCAATCAGTCTTGCTTCTAAAATAGTTGGTGCTTAGCCTAGCAAATAATGGCATTTTAGTTTTGTCCGCTTAATTGATTCGGATTATAGAACTTATTTTTAAAAAAAACCAATGCGTTTTTTTTCAAATCCTGCAGTATTAATTGAGGTACAAAAATAACGTTAAAAAAATCTTCACTAAAATTTCTCTTCTAAAAATTCTTCTCTACACAAATCATTGTCATGGAATGGTCTGCTAGAGAAAATAATATACAACAATAGACCACTCGGCCACCAAGCAAATGTAATATGCATTTAACATACGATTAACGCCGATGGACATTATTTTATGACGTCTATGTTATAAGAGTTTAACTTCTGACGAACATTGTGACTTTGCTAAATCATTCTTTTATTGCCTTAAATGTTGCAGTAACAAGAAGTTTTCGACGTAAAGACTTTGTAATTGCATTTTCTTTTCCATCTTTTAGAATTCCTTTCAAGTTTACGAAAACCAGCATTACTTTAACCAGTGAAAACAATTAGAGTCTTGCCACAAAACACTCGGTTGCCGGCAACAAAACGTCGTCTTAAAGTAGCCTAACTCACCATTCTACAATATCGAAATGTTTTAGTCTGTGCTATGACTATTTAGGGATTTCTTTCTGTATAAATATGGCTTAATGTACACCAACCTAATAAATGTGCAACTCAACCTCATTTTTTTCATGACAATCTGATGACAAGGCTGACATTAACTAATGTATCAAACTTAAAATTAATTCCTACACGTTTGGGATTTCACCTTGTTTAAGATATGTTTACATAAATCCTGAGTGTTGAGCTTGACATGTTTTAAATTGCATGTATCTAAATTAAGCTACGTTATCAATAAATACATAAATGTTATATAATTAATATCTATCAAGTCTATTTTTTAATTTTTTAAAATAAAATTTTGCTTGCGTGCATTTTATTTTTTTTTAAAAACTTTATCTTAATGAATGTCGCTTTTTTTTGTGGCTGGCTGTGTCGCAAAATCTTCCCTACGGCTAACTGACCAAATTTTTGTCAAGATGTCGAGCTGAAACTTGACACATGGATTCGTTGCCGATAACAACACATTCTCTAGAATTTTTAGCCCAAACCTTAACCCCGATAAATCAGGGTCCTTTTTTACTGTTTTTCAAGCGGGACATGAAAGATATTTCCGATATCTGCACTAAATTCGATTCTTTAAGATATATATATCGCAAGTTCATTTCGTGCGTAGGCTAATATTTTCGTTTGCCTTTTCTGAAATGTTTGGAGAAATTAAATTTGCTTGTAAAAGCGGTTGAGACATTAGAATATTAAAAACATATTTCATCCAAACCCCTAACCCCCCCCCCCCCTTTTTTTTTTCCTCAAATCCTCTAAGTTACATGATTAAAGGATATTTCAATGTAAGTTTTAAACTATCTTTATCTTCTTCTAATTCACAGTAGTGTCATCCAAATCCATGTTTACGTATCCAAACCATGGCAACCAAAAATAAACGGAAAGGGGATCCAATCCATTGGATCTTAAATGGATCTGTTAATAGGTTTGTTGAATCGTTGCAATTGATATCGAATGCTACAACGATCTCAATTTAACAAGAAACAGCAGAGAGGTAGAAAAATAAAGACACCGTATCGAAAGGATTGATACTATTGTAGATACAGAACATTGTCTAAAACCAAAACAAACGTGCTACCATAGAAATTACTAGAAGTAAGAAAAAAAATGTCTTTAGGTTTAAAGCTAATTTATATTTTAAAAGTCAATTAGAAAATACGTTATACAAACGAGCTTAGAAATGGAAGGAATTTTAGGAACACTTTTAAAAATGTATTTGATTGATTCCCAACAGTGATATGTTACCAAAACTCTGAATTAATTGTTTCCATTCTTCACACTCACTGGTATATTAGTGGAAGAAATCAGTGTCCCTATGGCTACTATTGGCTACATCTGCTTTGACTCTGTGTTCATAATTGTTGAGATGGGAAGAGACCACATATGTCTTGTTGTGTTTAACGTAACGAACAATTTTAGTGAGACATAATCTTGAACCAAGTCCTAGATGCTGTTCTTATCCTCTCACTAAGCCACAGTTATCTCTCATGTGTTTCGGCGACTTGACGTGTGATAAGATTTGGTTAAGAAATAAACATGTTTGGACGCAAACAAAAAAAAGTCACAAACTAGATTTTAATTAATAAGGAAAACCTGACAAACATTTATTAAATATATACATATTTGTTTTGTTAATGAGTTTTATTTTGGTAAATAGGCATATTTATCTAATGCCGTACTTGGTGTCTTAGTTATAGTATTTTTTGGAAACGAAATTTTAAACGGTTCTAAGAAAATATAATATATGATGCCTTTATTTAAATCGCAAATATATATAGAATAACCGTTTAACAGAATTTGACATTGTTGTATGTGGGCTAAGATACTTTACGAATTGGCAAATGAAACGATGACCCCCAAAAAAAGTCTTCAAATGCCTCGGACATTTGCTAATGTTTAGGTGTCCTTTGAGAGCTTTGAATTGACCTGTCTGAGCCTCCAAACATTTCTCTCCGTAAATGAATAGACGGATTTCTCGCATGTGAATGGCAGTCTGAAAGATGAAAACGATCCCGCATATTAAGTATTGGATTCTAAACGATTACTTATAGTTCTACAACACTCCATTTTTTTTTCCTTTTGGTCTTTTAATCTTTAAAATAATCGAATACATTTTTAGCCTTGATTATCATGTGCGTTAAAAGATGAAATATTTAACCAAAGCATTAAAAGGGAATGTTAATAAAGTTAAACACTATTTTATTCGAATCGCGTAATACAGAATCACAAAATATTTGCAACTAAAAGGAATTAACGAAACTCGCAGTTGTATATTGTTTATTACTGGCTAAAATCAAGTCCAATATTTCGCCCCACCCACCTAACTTTCCCCACCCATGAAGCAAATAAGATGTATTTAAATAAAGCTGCATTTAGTTAATATTTTTTTCTTGTCTATATTTATGTCCACTTTGTTTTCTATATTTCATAGCCCATTTTATTTTCTTGTTCCGTTTAAAATGTCTTTGCTTCTTAATGCTTTTAGCGCGATGCAATCAACAGATCCCTCCGGAATATGTGTAATTTCCTTATTTATATTTGGCCCGTCTCTTAACTGTCCTCTGTGATATGTTCTTCCACCTAGATAAAACAGCTCTATTGTTACTCGTGACGAAACTGCTTGAAGGAAGATCTTATCAATTAAAAGGTCATGTGTTATATCGCCCATTTCCATGAATCGAGGAACTCAGGTAGGGAAACAGCGGCTCCGTTTTCGAATAATTAGAGGGGATGATTTGTGCTCACTGCTCACCGTCATAATCTCTAACACCACACACACATAAAAACAGACTTACAAATTTCTGCAGTTAGACAAGATGCTCTGTACCGAAACAGTATCAATACGTGGGAAGTCTCCTGGTATCTCCAAGAAGAGTTCCTTTATTGTTCTATGGTAGCGGGCCACACGATGAAGCAATTCGGTTAGCTGAAAACACGATATACAGTTATTTTGTGTGGAGCCATTTTTCTGATATATATTTTAAATATCTTAAATGTTCCGATGCAACGATTGGATCCTTACATGCATTCATAGTAATGGTGTAAGATTTTACTGAAATTGTAAGAATTTAAATATGATAAAATACATTTTCTTTTATGCAAGTATTTGTTTTGTTTATAATGTGTTTATTATTATAATAAAGTATAAATACATTTCTTATATTACCTTTTTTTTGGTCAGAAGCGTAAACATGGTTTGGGTGGGGGTATCTAAAAGTCTGATTCACTAATTGCATAATGAACTACGATACCAGATTTTAGACTCGATCTCTTACTATCAAGGGTCTTTTGATGGTTGTTTTGTGTGTGTGTTTGTGTGTATTTTCTGGTAAATTTAATGAAAACAAATAAATATATACCAGCCTTTAATTGGAAGCCATTTTTTTCTTCTTATACGTTTTTTAAGGTTTTCCATTACATTTAAAAATAAATAAATTCAACTTTAAGGTTTATCATGTTGTATTCATGGTCTTATCCATCTTACTTTCTCTGAATGGCCTCATTTATTCCAAACCACATAATATAACCCTTTTTGTCTTTTATAAACCCATGAATCGAAGCAATAGATTTTCTTAAATTTGTTGGTCTCCTCTTTTTTAAAATAACTATAATTGTTTGCTTTTGAAATGGCAGGCTATTGTTTAAACACACCGAACAAAGGCTGAATGTCGTATCTTGAACACTTTATAAGTTGTACTTTTTCTTTGGGGTGAGGGGAGGAGAGTCTCTTAAGAAAATGTTTGGTAACCCGGGGAGTCTGAACTGAGAAAATCCCAAGCTTGTGGACTGGAGTTGGTTGACACCTTTTCAGTTTGGTGTGTCAAAGTCTATGGTCTTCTTTCTCATCACTGGCGCAGTTTTATAACGTCACTATTGCAACGCTCAATGAAAGTAAGTAAGTATGGCTTGTTGCCTGAGGAGTGTATTCTTCTGCTGGATGAATTTGTAGCAACTGTGCTTTGTAACAAGTGGATGCTTCAGTACATGTAAATAAATACGTATTTTACAATGGACTAGTCTGTGTTTGAGTTACTTGACCGAGAGAGACAGAGAGAGAGAGAGACAGAGAGAGAGAGAGAGAGAGAGAGAGAGTTAACAATACAGGTCTGACATAAGGTTAGATATCGATTAGTCACCATTGTAGTTTGTAACCCCCTTGACAAAGGAAGGAGGCTGTAAAATTTGGAGGCCGTAACAATACTGACGATACTGGAAACCATAAACTGACCCCACGAACTGACCTCTGATTTTGTATAACCCGACCAATTACAACTCCCCATCACAAAACCTGTCACCCTCCTACGAAATAAACGCCTTGCAAAAAAAAACAAAAAAAAAACTACATTCACAGAACCAGTTCATGAAAGATTTCACTCCCCAATTAGAGCCTAGACAAGCAAAGACATCACTAGCATCCTGGGTGTATGGGTCTTGTGAACCTTGGATGGAAAATGATCTAAAGGAAGACAAATTCTACATTGAAACCCGAAGATGTAGCCCCGTAGAGGCAGTATGACATTATATCAATGAAAATTCCGACAACTGTGTTGTGGAACTGGTCAAATGAACAGTGAACACGAACAAAAATCCTTAATGGGCTTCTATTGCATCCTCGTCTATCTCGTCTTGCCTAAGTATTGCCATTGAATTAAATAGGCAAAGACGCCAGAGTGAGTCTGACGAAAATGAGCACTTTAAACAAAATACGGCTCAATTCAAGGTTGGCACTCAAGTCAAAGACCGCCTTGGTTATCTTTGCATGCGAAAAACGAAAAATAAATCAGTTCAGAGGCTACTGGAATGCATGTCATGTAAAGTATGAAGTGTAGCCATGGGGTGTCATGTCAGGTTTTTTCAAGGGGGTTGGGGGCCAAAGTAGACTTTGTTGGCTTGTTGTTTATTACAAGAGGTGCACAGTACATAACAATATAAATAAATTAAGTATAAATAATCAAATAATTAAGAGGGAGGGAGCAAATGCCTGACCCTGCACTACCCAAATGACATCCCTGAAGGGATGATTTATTTAACATTTACATCTCTCGATTCGATGTGTTACAATTTTAGTTGGAAATCATGTGTGAGCATCAGAATTGTTTAAGAAATTATGGTATCTAAATCCCTGAGTCCTGGCCTGGATACTAAGCACCAAAACTCTATTCCTTCATCAGCTGCATTAAAGAGAAGTGCATTTTAGGTGGTAAGGGCAGTCGCGAATTGGTCTCTCAGTCAGGGGTTCTCAACCTACAAAATAGACATACAGACCTCTTTGAGCCTCTTTCTCCGTTTTTCTCAATTGTTAAAATATGATTAATTCCGTCCAAGAAGTGTATGCGTTTCCTCAAGGCCTAAACCATCACAAAACGTTTGGTTTTCCGTTTCCCCTGACATTAATGCCATAACAGACATAAATATCTAGTCAAAATGGCTGATGCACACAAAAAAGTATCATAATGGAAATTGTATCTTTTTTTAAATACACAACACAGCCAATGAGTGTGCGTTAAACGACTAAAACTAAAAGGAAACTATTACACACGAAAAAAAAAATATTTCCCCCCCCCCCTCTTTGCAGTCGATTGCTTTAAGTACAAATGAGATTTAAAGAGTCAGATGCCCAGATTCTACAAAACCATCGTAAGACTTGATCCTACCTCAGACTCCGATGTAGCTCCATCTTCCCTCACCTGCCATCTTAATTTAGACATCGGGATGGCTGGAGATAATATGGGCAACATTTTCCTCGTGCTCTCGATCTCTTCGACCTTGAGGGTTACCGTCAAATCTGGGTGGGTTGTGACCAAATCTTGCCACGCTTCACACGGTATTAAATGATCTGATAGGGGGTAGGCACGGCGTGACCTTCTCATGAATGTCCAAACTGATGAAATGTAACATTGATAGATTGGTGCATGTCAGAATAAGTTCTTGACGTGTTCTGTATCAAAGCAGCTGAAAGGTGGGCGGCATTTAAAACAATTTATGTTCAAAATCACAATTCTTTTTAAAAGGCATGAAGAACTTTAAGATAGCATTCACATATTGATACAACATACACAAATTGAGACCATGCACAAATAGTGAGACAATGTACATATATTGAGATAATGTTCAGATATCGAAACCGTGTACACGCATGGAGACAATGTACGTCTATCGAAACAAAATATACACATATTGAGACCACGTATTCATACTAAACACATAAACATGTCCGTTGAATTTGTCCGTTTGTCTGTTAAACTGGTTCGTTGAACGTGTCCTTTCTGTTCAATTTGTCAGCTTTCTGTTGAACTTTTCCTTTTTCTGTTAAACTCGTCCTCTTGTCTGTTAAACTTGTCCGTTGAACTTTTCCGTTACATAGTTAATCTATAATTTGCCTTTCTTTTTATCCGCCCCTTCGCATTTTTTTTTCAAAAACTTTTTTTTTTGTCTACGACTAACATATCCATGAATATTTTTGTAAGCTGAATTGAATACAACCTTTATCCGTAGAATAGGTATAATGTTCTTGATTTAAAAAAAACAACAAAAGAACAATCCCACATAACGACAGAAAAACGAACTCGATCAGCAACTACCAATACGTCATTTTTCTCTTTTTGACTATGTCTTGGAACTCTGCTATGAGGAGTGGCTTGAGGTTCGGAAGGTGGATATAAATGAAACCTTATTCAATTTTGTAAATATGACTACAGTAATCCATCACCCCCTCGCTCACCTTGATACGACAGAAAGTAAATATAGCAAAATTTAAAAAAAAAAAAAAAAAAAAAAAAAAAAAATATGGCAAAAATTAAAAAAAAAAAAAAAAAAAGACGTACAATCTGGCGAAAATTCTTCAGCTTGGAGGCAAATGTACTTAAGTAATGGACTGGACTTGGTCCATGATTTGATGACTTCCTCAGACATTGTTGCATAGTCCATGTGAATGTAGCGAAGTTTGGTCAATTTCTGCAATAATAGAAACAAAAAATTGAATTAATCCCAGGCTGAAGTGATGAACATTTTGAGTCCATCTATAGAGAATTATGTAAAAAAAAAAAAATGTCCCGGCTTAAAATGATGCTAAAATGTTTGCCAGGGAAGCGCACTTAGTTTTGACAATCAGTGCGCTTGATAAAGAGTTAACCATTATACACTTATAAGTGAGGGCATATGGATTCTTTTATGTTTGAATATTAAAATCAAGGGGAAAGTGAAACAAAAATAAGATATCTCCACAAGTGACAATAACCTGCAATCCTGTGACCCATTCTCGTTCTCTAAGTGTAGGAATCTCCTTCAGGAAGAATCCCTTTATAGACAGAAGGCTAAGGGTAGCTCCAGAGGAAGTGGCCAGACTTTTTAGAAACTGCAGACCACTCTCAGTGTCAAAGTGTATGTTATCCATAAACAAAATCTTTAAAAATATAAATACGATTATAAAAATTATTACGCAATGGAACATGTAAAAAGGTTTGAAAGCTTGGAAGTGTTGGAAGCTTTCCTTCTCTTTGGAAATGTTGCCAATAAAAGATGGCTTTCCTTGCACAAGTCGCAAGGTGATTTACATTTGTAAAAAATGCGCTAAATCAAATATAGGAGAGAGAAACCTAGTCGCCTTGGAAATCGTTCTGTTAAACTAATTTATGACACACATTAACAGGCCCTTCGTCCTTAACGTTCTTTTTAACTTTGTTTCTGACTTATTGCTCTCAGTCTTTTACCGGTAGTACACATGTACATATATATATATATATATATATATATATATATTGATTTATTTGTTTTTAGTACAGATTAAATGTTGTATATTTCTATTATGTATTATTATCATTAAAGTTTAAAGTATCTGTTATATAAACTTATTGAAATAATACTAATTTATGACACACATTAACAGGCCCTTCGTCCTTAACGTTCTTTTTAACTTTGTTTCTGACTTATTGCTCTCAGTCTTTTACCGGTAGTACACATGTATATATATATATATATATATATATATATATATATTGATTTATTTGTTTTTAGTACAGATTAAATGTTGTATATTTCTATTATGTATTATTATCATTAAAGTTTAAAGTACCTGGTATATAAACTTATTGAAATAAATTCCTTCTGTCTCATTCATAAAATTGTGTCATATATATATATATATATATATATATATATATATATGTATATATATTCAATCTGTTTTCCTTTTTTCCCTAAAGTATAAATGGATCTTTTAGACCTTTGAGACAAAAGAAGTAACCAAATTGAATCATCCTGGCTGATACTGCCTGATACCAAAGTTTAACCTAAATCTCATTTTATCCTGGACTTAGCAACAAATTTGAACAAAACATCTAAAATAAATTTTACCTCCAGAAATGTCTGTTTCTCGATTAATCTTTTCAAAGCCTTAAAAAAATTTGCACGCATCTGCCCTGTCAGCCGAAGACTCTCCATTTCCACAAAAATAATGCTTTTGAGATTTGCGTCATCCAAAAGTTTAGAGAACGTCTGGAAGTCATTCATCATTCCCGTGAATGAGTGCCATTCCGCTGGCATGAACGTAATCGTCAATGTCTTCAGATATCTTGGGAACTGCTTGACAAGTTTTATTGCATTCCTTCCTGGTAAGAAGTACATTAAAAACTGTGTTTTAACACTCTTGAGACTAACATTCACGGACGACCGTAGAGTATGTGGGAATTGCAGAGATAAGCGATAGGTTATTTTAATTTACCACCATAACTGGGTACATTAAAGGATGTCTTAATGCTGTTCTTTCTTAATTTCTAAACTTGATATTATTGCATAATTAAAAGCATTGTGTAGATAATTTGACACTGCATGGATGTTACAAGAAAACAACTATTCTCGATAAACTGCATAAACCTCATGTGCGTCAGGTGTCCACCCAATCATCGTCGGTATGCGGCTGTTTGATTTACTTCACCTCATAAGACGGTGCACACGAAATCAACGTCCACATGTGGCTGTCTGATCTACTGCGACAAATAAGAGAGTGTCCACCCAATCATTGTCCACTGGTGACTGTCCGATTTAATACATCAAATAAGATGATAGCCACACGTATCGCCCACAGGTGTCTGTCTCATCACGAACACCAAATAAGATGGTGTATGACCAATCATTATTTCAAATAAGATGATGTATGCCCAATCATTATCTCCAATAAGATGATGCATGACCAATCATCATGCCAGGGTGGTTGTCTCATAATCTACACCAAATAAGATGATATCCACTGCCATTTCTTTTACTTTAAACTAAGTCTAAGATTTACTATACCAAATTAGACCGTGTCCACCCAATCAACGTCGTCCACATGTGGCCGTCTGATTTACTACACTAAAAAATAGATTGTCCAACCAATCATCTGATGACCTACACCAGATTATATGACTTCCTCTGCCTCTTCTTTTACTTTAAACTAAGTCTCAATTTGCACATCATGCGTCAAGTTCAATACACATTGTGATTGAACACAACTGTAATAGTATTTTAGGTTTACTGTATTTCAGATATACCAGTATTTTATTTTTAGCAGTATGTTTACATTTTAACGCTGCGTAATTTGTCATAGCAGCACGAATGTTAGTTTTATCAGTGTTTTAGTTGTAACCCTAATTCAGTAGCCATGTTACTGTACCGCATGTATATTTAAATCCATCGCCAACCTTCAAAGCTTGTTCGTCTTGGTGGTGGCAAAACATAATAGTCTTGTTCCTCCAGAGACAAGGGTCGTGAAAGCCTTCGCGCCAGGACTTACACACCTTGACAAGGAAAAAAAAAAGGGTTAAATTTAAGGATGTGGTCGCGTAAGAATGATGCAAAGTGGTCGTAATTGTTAAGTTATGGATTTGTCGTTTACTTAATTGAAATGTAATGTACTCTAAGAACAAGTGGTGTATATAAAAAAAAATATGACACTAACGACACAAACCATCAATTTGAAATAGTGGACTAAAACTGGGTAAATTACAGTTGTGTTTATTTTTAGTAATAGGGCGATATGATGTAACCGTTCTGAAAATAATAAACAGCTCATTGCCCGCCGTAAAAATCAAATAAAACATTTCCAAGCCAAATAAATGCTCATGTGTTGTGCTTTGATTAAAAAAAATATTATAATAATTTAAAGCAGCATTAAGTCAGTACACGATATAACATCACAAGCAATAAAATGTCAATTCAATAAGTTATAAATATGACTAATATTTTATTCGCGGGGGCATCCTAAATTAAAACGCAATTAACATCAATGGGTGTATCCATAAAAAAAAACAATAACAGACACTTATTTATCCATGCATCCCAAAGCCAACCACCCTTCAATACACCCATTGATTCACATCAAACCTCTCATGCATCCACTTATCCATTAACAAGTCGACCCACGCATCCGTCCTTCCTCCCGTTTATTTATTCATCTAACATAATGTATTATAGTAGGCGACCCTCGGCGTAGCATACGCCGCGAGCTCGTTGGGGTGTGAGCCTGGCTGGCAAGCGAGATGCAACCCTCCAAAACATTGGCGGTAGCATACGCCGAGAGCTCGTTGGGGTGTGAGCCTGGCTGGCAAGTGAGATGCAACCCTCCAAAACATTGGCGGTAGCAATGCGTGAGCTTGCCACGCACTAAAGTTACTTGACAAAAAGCGTGAACTCAAGTTACAGCCCATTTAAGAATTCCAATTTTGCTACAACCCTTCCCCTACCCCCTTTTTTCATGATATGTTTGCCCTACATCTGGCGAATTATATATATAGATCGTTCATCTGTCAATCCGCTCTCCCATATTTCATTCAAACAGTTATCCACATGACCAGCAAATGTATTCCATAGCATCTTTTGTTATTTGTATTTTTACTTTTTATAAAATGTACAAAGTAATTCATACCCATAGTCCGACCAATAAAATATAACGACATCCCTCTCCCCCACCCCCCACCCCCTAACAAAAAACCACAAACAACAACAACAAAAGGTAAAAAAAAAACTTTTTGATTTATTAATATGTAATAGTCATTACCCGTGCCATGGAAGCTCTGTCCACATCGGCAGATCTCTGATAAATCTCCCTCAAAACATTGGCGGGAATCTCGCTCCAGTAAGGCGGCTGTCGTTCATCAGCATTCGTTCGCCCCACAGTGGAGGAAGTGGGAAGCCGTTGCGTCGGTCCGTCTGGCGATGAAATTTTCGTTTTTTCTTGGTGGGCGGCATTTTTGGCCTTTGGCATATTTTGAACAAACGAAAAAATTGTTAACAATTATTTTTTTCCGTTGACTACTTTTTTTCAAAAGATGTTCAAAAATTGGAAGCGATGCAAAATAGTTCTTGAATTCAATCTTTCGGAAATTCCCGAAAGAAAACGTGAAATAAGGAGAGAATTTGATTTCTAACCAAATAGCAGTTAAGTAGCACTAGATTTGCACATATCCAAAGAAAATATTAACCAACTAGGGATATATAAAACTTAGCGTTAAAATAATATATACATATATATATATATACACATATATACACACACATATATCTAATGGGAATAAATTATTTAACACGGGATTTTTTAAATATAATAATAATAATAATAATAATAATAATACAATAGGACAGTTTTAGTTTAAAATCTTTCATTTTGTTTATTTAAAGCTGGACCACGTGAGAACTTTGCCTCTTGGATTCTTCATCAGCGGTTCTCAATCTGTCGGTCGCGAACGCTTTAGGACTCGAACGACCCTGACACAGGGGTCTCCTAAGACCATCGTAAAACACATATTTATGAAGTATCAACGAAAATAATTTTTTTTAGGATTGGGAAGTAACCGCAACAGGAGGAACTGTATTCAAGGGTCGCTGCATTAGGAAGGTTGAGAACTCTGTTCTAGACAGCCCCCGGGCATCACTTCGAGATCTCGAGCTGTCAGCGCAACCCGTTGGTTTTTCCTCCTTAGAAGGCCTTTCTTATCATCACTGCCACGGTGCTATATTTTGTTGTGACTAGCTGAACTGTTCAAATACATTTACTGATTTTTCAAAATACCTTTTTATCGCACGTTTGTTAAAAGCTAGATGTAGAATCGATGATGTATCGAAACGCAAACGTTTGAAATCCAGATCGGCATCCTGGCAAAGCAGGAGCACTATCTTTGCAAACACATCACCACTTTTCTCAAGAGAACTTACGCTCTTTCAGAAAAAATCAACTGTGTTAAATACATTACGTGTAGTAGTTGTCGATTCAAGAGCTTTGCAATACAAAAGAAAAATAATAATAATAATTATTTATTATTAAATAATAAAAATTTGAAAAAGAAACTTTTAAAGTTGGCATCATTAATATTCCTCATGTAAACCATTAACTGAATAGCGTGCAACGTCATTCGATTCATCGAGCTGGATACTAAACATTGGAAATGACGCAGTTTTAATTACCTGGCTTACCGGATCAAGAGTGTCATCATATATTTCCTTTATTCATTCTTCTGCGGGCAGTGTCGTTAGATAAGGAAATTGCACTCAATTTTGTGACGTATTCGTTTCCGATCATAACTCGAACTAGTACATTGGCCGCTGGCAAAAGTGTATCCTCAGCAATGGTGTGAGGATTTCATAGCTCTGGCGATTCTGGGTGCCCCCTTATATGAATCTCGGCTGCTTGGTTTTGTTGTGGTAATTGCCACCTTTGTCAAGTCTGGCTTTTTAATTACATCAGCTTTGCTTCTAAAACCATTGGTGTCCTGCCCGATAGATCTCGGGTGTTTGCGATCATAATGGTGTTTTAGTTTGTTTGGCTTCATAGATTCGGATTATACAACAACAAAATCACACCGCTGTTTCTCAAATCTTGCTGTATTTATTGAGGTACAACCATAATGTAAAAAAATACTCGTTGTAATTCCTGTTCTCATCAACCACTGCTTATACTATCACAACGTGGCAGGATTCACATTAACCACAGATGTTACTATTACAAGGTTTGCAATATTCACATCAACTACAGCTGGTACTATCACAACGTGGCAGTATTCACATTAACCACAGATGTTACTATTACAAGGTTTGCAATATTCACATCAACTACAGCTGGTACTATCACAACGTGGCAGTATTTACATTAACCACAGATGTAATTATCACACGTTTTGCAGTATTCTCATCAACCACAGCTGGTAATATCACAACGTGGCAGTATTCATATCCAACACATCTGTTACTATCACAAGTTTTGCAGTATTCTCATCAACCACAGCTGGTATCATTAACAACGTGGCATTATTCACATTAACCACAGCTGGTACTATCACAACGTGGCAGTATTAACATCAAACACATCTGTTACTATCACAAGATTTGCAGTATTCTCAACAACCACAGCTGGTACTATCACAACGTGGCAGTATTCACATTAACCACAGCTGTTACTATCACAACGTGGCAGTATTAACATCAAACACATCTGTTACTATCACAAGGTTTGCAGTATTCACATCAACCACAGCTGGTACTATCACAACGTGGCAGTATTCCCACTAACCACAGATGTTAGTTTCTTCATTTTTTCTAATTAATTCTAACCACCAGCTTCCTCTTCCACGGTTGCTGTGATTGCAGGGTTCCTCCACCCCTCCCCACACCCTAAGCGACAAGGACTGCCTTGGTTGCAGGGTTCCTCCACCACTCCCCACACCCTAAGCGACAAGGACTGCCTTGGTTGCAGGGTTCCTCCACCCCTCCCCACACCCTAAGCGACAAGGACTGCCTTGGTTGCAGGGTTCCTCCACCACTCCCCACACCCTACGCGACAAGGACTGCCTTGGTTGCAGGTCTCCCCTCTTCGCTGTCCACATCTCCAGTTTTTCCAGGGGTCATCCCGTCTGTTTGGTTGCAGGGTTCCTCCACCCCTCCCCACACCCTAAGCGACAAGGACTGCCTTGGTTGCAGGGTTCCTCCACCCCTCCCCACACCCTAAGCGACAAGGACTGCCTTGGTTGCAGGGTTCCTCCACCACTCCCCACACCCTAAGCGACAAGGACTGCCTTGGTTGCAGGTTTCCCCTCTTCGCTGTCCACATCTCCAGTTTTTCCAGGGGTCATCCCGTCTGTGTTGTGCTCATCGATTATCAGACGGCCTTGGAAGCTGTTTGTGTCCTCATCCGCACCTGTTAATCTACATTGTTTATGTATTTATTTATGTAGGCATTTTTTTTTAAATAGCGCTTACCTTACAGCTCTAAGCGCTTTACAATTTATTAAAAATATGTCAACTATTTAAACTGCTAAAATAAAATAAAAATGAAAAACCAGAGACACTCGAATAGTAACTACAATGTGAAAAATGACGTCATTTGCGTTTTAATGTAGATCAAATTAATTTTAGTTTTATTTCGCAATATTAAGAACGTAATCTAAAACGAACTAAAATTAACAGATGTTTGATTTTTTCCCGATAGAAGTTTTCTATTAATATTTTTTTTTAAAATAACTTTTACATATGAATGAAATGTTTAAAATAGTTCCATTGTTGTACTTTAAATGTATTTGTCATTGATAATAAGAATACTTACATTTTTTATTTTTAAAAAAAGTGGATATAAAATATTTTTTTGCACTTTAAAATTTATTCGAGTTTTGTAAAATAATAGAAAAAAAATGCTATGATGGGTTTAAGAATCCGAATATCTAAATAGTTTCGGTTCTTTGGTGGTACATCCAACCACTACCAGTTACCACAGTCATTAGAGTGTCTCCTGCTTTCGTTGTGTTTGCCGATCCATCAAAGTTAGTTTTTCATGCAAACTACAATATCACAATGTTTATATTTTATTATGTACATGTTCGGAAACTACGTTGTTTTACAAAATATTGCTGGATATACAAAAATAATAACTATATTAGCTTTTCCATGCTTTACAAAAAAAAAAAATCATCATTTTCAGTCCAGCCATTTTCTTCATTGACTTACTTCATGTCGCGTTATATTCGGGAAATTACAAGTGACTGAATTTAAACGACCATTTTGTGACTGTGATTTAAAATCGGGCGAAGGTGGCCGCATGAATAATAAAATGATGACTACGTATGCATTTTGAAGCTGTGAAGTCTTCATATTATGGTAAACAGATGGGATTCCACAAAGAAAATTAAAATATTGATCAACCCGTTTCGTATTCCCATCAAGGGTATGTATATTTTGAGGTCTTGCAGGCCAAAAAAACCTTGTCTGGAAGTAAGGATTGCTTTAAGGTCTTAGTGGTTATGTGTCACCGCTGACATGTACGATTGGAAACATGGTTTCTTGCGAACACTACAAACAATTCACTGTTTTTGGAATGAGATCTCAAGAAATAGAACTTAAGAGCAGTGCCTATACTGTGTTGATGTCGCTTCCCAGATTACATCAATGGCTTTTCTAATCTTTTGATAACGAATGAAATCATCCATGACGGTGACGAGATTGTCATGAGGACTAGAACGAACGCCATTTAACTTAAGTGATGTAAAGGGTCGTGAATCTATGGATAAATCAATGGATATACCGATAGATCAGTGGATACTAATTTTATTTCCCAACAAATTTTATAATTTCGTAGTGTAACTAAGCGATATTTCATTTTAGTTTCTGTGACACAGGATCTGTTAATAAGTTTTTTGAATCGTTGCAATTAATGTCTAATACTACAAAAATCATAACATAACAGGAAACAGCAGAGAGGTAGAAAAGTAAAGACACCGTCTCTCCTGGGTGATAACATAAGGAAGAACGTGCTAATAAGAATTTACCGGAAGTAAAAAAATCTATATTTTCATGTTTAATGCTAAATTTATATTTTAAACCTCAAGTAGAAAATAGCTTATAAAAATGAGCTTAGAAATTGTGGAACTTTGAGGAACACTTGTAAAAATGTATTTTATTTATTCCAAAAGTGATATGTTACCAAAACTATTAATGAATTATTTGTATTCTTCATACTCACTGGTATATTGATGTAAGCAATCAGTGTCCCTGTGGCTACATCTGATGTGTCACTGTATTCATATTTGTTGAAATGGGATGAGACCGCAGACGGCTTATTGTGTTTAATATGACGAACAATTTTAGCGAGACACAATTGTGAAACGATTCATAGATGTTGTTCCAATCCTTCCACTATGCCTACAGTTATCTCTCAGGAAATGTCTTTCTGTGACTTGACGTGAGATAAGATTTGGTTAGAAAATTTAAAAAAATGGTTGGACACACACACACAAGGTCATAAACTAGTTTTAATTATTTAAAATAAACTGACAAGAAGTTATTAAGCATA